GTTCAGCAGAATAAAAAAAAAAAAAAAAAAAAACCAGACGATGACAAAGATCACACATTACGTGCCATTGTTGGATATAAACTACGTGCTGTTTGTTTAATGGGCCTTTTGTGAATGTATTGGAAGCCCATACTCGTTAATAGAGAGAGAGAGACCCATGTGGCTATAAGTGCAAGTGCATGTCAAAACTCAAAAGCAGCAACAAAGATCCCCTGATCCCATGTTGTCCGACGTGCAAAGTCGCCTGCATTATATTTTAGGCACATAATGCGGATGTTTGAAACGCGTCGGTTTCACAATTATCTAATGATAAATGCGTACATATTCTATTTTTTTTTTCAAAATTTTACCTACAATTATTTATTGATAAATGCGTTCACGTTCTAACTTTTTAAAGAAAATTTATTGCATATATTTTAATGTGTTCACACTAAATTTTTTTTAATAGTTTATTTTTAACCTTTGTATTAATGAATTAAAGTTTTCTCTATACAACTACTAAATAATATCATTTTTTTTAAATGAAGATTAAGATTCACATCAACTAAAATGTTGAAATGTGTTTTTAGAAATTGAAAATTTTGTATCTTGTCAAACTTAGTTATGATTGAGGCTTCTGTATATGAAGACAATAAAAAGTTGTGACTAGTTATTAATTAAGGATATTAAGTTAAAAATCGCACGAAAAGTCATATTTTTAGTTAAGCTAAATATTATTTTTATGGAGTTTTCATACCAGACCAAAAATTAAAAACATAATCAGATTATAAGTAAAAATAAGAAAACATAAAAAATTTAAACTAAAAGAAAATTCTTGAAATTGATTGAAAAGCATAATTCAGGTGCTGAATAAAGAGATCACATTATTTTTCACGCAACTCTAACACTTTTCACGCAATTAAGGTGCTGAGTAAACATAAATTTTTTTTATTATATCAACCAAGAAAGTTTATAAGAAAATACAAGTTATTGGTCTTAGACTACACCGATTTTGCAACATGCCCAAAAATATTGAAATGATTTTCAACTATTTTTATTTGTATTTTTAAAGTATAGTCCAATAATTATGTTTGTTAAATAAATTGTGAACATTTGTTTTATTTTGCTTTATATTAGTAGAAGAAAGTAAGTTTGGATAAAAACATTTGGATCCAAAAGAACCGACATGAACTAGATTTGAAAGCAATACTAAACACAAAATAAAACTGATTAATTTTTCAAAAAAAAACTAAATCTGATTAAGTAGTCAGATGGATCTAAAAGTTTAATATCCATATAACCAAATCTGATCCAAACTAAAAGATTTTGGATGCCAAAATATATCTAAATCGTAATTATATATTTAAATATGTTAATTATTTTATATCTATTAGATATTAAAAATACGAAAATATCTAAAAATTCAAAATATCCACAAGTAAATATCTAAAAATAACATAAAATTTTCAAAATACTGAAAATATTTATTTATTTTCTATCCAAATATTTCAATTGAACTAATGTTTATTTAAATTTAAATATATATGTTTTATATTATTTTATTTTAATATTAAGCATATTTTGATTTTTGTTTTAAAATATGTAATTAAAATGGGTATACGAACTCAAATCCAAATCGAACCCATAATGATTCGAACCAAATCCAATTTTTGTGTAAATATCGGAATATGATTTAAATTTTTTGTCCCTAAAAATTCAAAACCTGAATAGATTAACTGAATCCGGAATAGATATATGAATGCTCATCCCCAGAAAAACTATACAACAAATGCCTTAGTACAACATAAAATAAATAATCTAATAAACTATTTCACTCCGAACATAATTACTACTTAGTATGATGTTATAACGTTAACTCTTTGGTCTTTGTGTTACCTGCAAGTGCAAATAGCTAATTTTAAAATATTTCCTTTTTTCATGAAGGCTGGCTAGTTGCATGTTGGCCTCAGGGATTGATAGGTTTTTGGCTATCAGGATATGTGATTTATCGTTAGAGAAAAATGAAGAAGAAAAGCAGAGTTCAAAAGCACAAACCAAGGAACAAGTCTCCACCAAGTAATATGTTTATTAGTGACAACAATTTATTCATCATATGTTTTTAAGTCCCAATCGTGACAAAATATCCAAAAGATTGAAGAATAATCTCTTCTCGATAAGTATCTTCAAAACAAGGGGCACTCGATCGCTTACTTGATTAAGATCTCTTAGATCTGCTAAAGTAGCTCGCCGGGAAGTCCACATGGTGTCGGTGATGTCTATTGACAAAGAACGCCACACAAGGAGCAGCTACTATGCCTACGCCAAGAACCGGGTAGGACAGAATGAAGAGCAGAGATAGGACACCCCCGGAATTGCTCTCAGGATAGGGAAATGTAAAGCCGAACGATGCGAAATTAGCGATAGAAAGAACGGCCGTGGAAACATAGAGGATGATCCACATGGGGAGCCCAACTATAAGGGATGTGATCACATGGACAGATGAGAAGAAGGCAATTCCATTGAGCACGTAAAACATTATGGCATTGTTCCAATACATAGTCATCTGTCCAGCTGAGTGATCATCTTCCGGAATTGAGGAATCATCTTGCCAAAATCCTCCAGGAGGACTGAGACCGGTCTGGTACGTGGCTGTTGCTATCAGTACAGCCACCACAAGTATTGCATTGCGGAAATCGCTGATGTCTTTTGTCTCTGTATTTCCGAAATTGCTCAGTCCCAAATAATTGTTACGTTTCTCAATAAAGGATGGTTTCTTGCTCAAGTATCCGGCTAGAGTCATTGTGGAATGTTTTCTAGTTCTATGGAGAAGTCGGCTAGCTTCAGGAGAAAGAGGTGAATGTTGATTTTTGAGTATGTCCATGGCCGTCTCACCATCTAGGTTCTTAGCTTGTACTTTAACGGTTCCACGCAGCAACTCCATAACCTAAAACAAAACAAAACAAAAAAATCTGATACGTGATGAGTATCAAGGGAACAAAAAAAAAAGGTGTGAAAAGATATCATCTCCTTTATTGATAAAAGCAGTTTACAGAGAGATACACGACACCCTTCTTATGTTGGGTAAGCTTTGATAGCTTGAAGCTCAAGACATCCTTCAACAAGTCGGTTAAAGATATATAGGATAAGCTTAGTTATAAACCTAGTAGTATTAGGAGTTATTATTAGAGATATATTGGACCGGAAGATATGTATCTTACGGACTGTAAAACCTGTGAAATCCATGAAAACCTTCAAGACTAAAAGGAAAGACTCGAAGATAAAGTTAATCTTAAAATATTCTAGCATATTTACATTAAGGATTTAGAAAAATTAACATTATCTATTGTTAATATTATATTAATGTTAGCAGTATATATATGCATTTTATATTCTCATATTCATCACAACACAATAATATATTTATTCTATTATACTTTACAGTTATCTTTTACTAATAGGGAAAGGAAATCTACTCCGTTATATAAGGAAGCATATGTCAGAGTTGTGGCATACAAATAACGTGAGAGAAGTATTTTAGTTCTGAGCATATTTTCTAAAGCATTCAATAATAAAAGAGAGCAAGTTCTGTATATTTTTTTTTTGGTGTGATTTCGAGCTACTTTATCATATTCTATGTACTAGTAGGATACTTATAATAATAATGGCTAGGTCACACAATGATCCCAAAACCAGCCATGTGACGTCCGTTGGAGGATCCTTGCCCTCAAAGTATCATTTCGTCACATGTTTTTTATTCTACAACACTACCAAGAGATAGATCCAACCCTTTTCAACCCACATTCCTTTATGGTTTCTTTTTCTGGGCCTTACGACGCCGGTAAGTAAACAACACTGGTGGATGTCGTGCCTCACACGTATCAAAACCCACAGTTCGGATATATATTAGATGTACCGGTTAAATGTGTAGAAGCCGGTAAACCGGATCGACATAAACGATAAAATAGAATCGGAGTTAAGGAAATAGATGATTCATAAAGACGATAAAAGAACATGGAGACGAAATATAATCTCTATCCTTAACCATAGCGACGAATTACGCTTCACTCATGAAACGTCCTTATGAACTAAATAATTACGAAACACTCTCTAGACTTAATTTGAGAGTTTTTCTGTGAGATTTACGATCTGAAAAAAGTGATCAATGAAGGAGAAGGAGATACCATATTTAAAGAGGAGATGAGGAGCGGTTTTTCGAAACTGTTGCAAACGTTTTCCGAAAATCTCTTAAGGATTTCGGAGGGAACGTGAGCAGCTTTCTCTGCAAGTTTCTCTCTTAGTTTACTCGTACTTAACCACTTCGAACATATAAACGCCGTGCCGTTTTTAAACGAACTACACGTCGTTTATACACAAATATCATGTTGTTTTTAATGAAATGGCAAAACGTTGAGCTTAACTTGATCTTAAAGATAACTTCTTATCGGGCCAGAGGCCCTCCACCCAAGCCCAAGCCCAAGGCCACGCCGAGCCGGACGGACGGCGGCGGCGCGCGCGTGGGGAGCTCTCTCCACCTCTGAGCCGTTTGAACCAAGGTAAGAGACACAACATATATATATATATATATATAAATATATATGGGTGAATCTCCCATCTTTTAGTCGATGTGGGACTTGCTCCCTTTCTCTTCATTTAATCAGAAAGGTTAGGCCAATTTTTCTTCACGTAATGATAATTATTGATAAGCTTTGGACTTAATAAGAATTGATCCAACAATCCCCCACATGGATAGAAATGACTCTAAACATATGCAGACTATATGCAAACTCGATCGACTCCAAAAAATTTTTTTATTCTAATCCTGACTAGACTAGACAGACTTATCGAGAGTGTTTGCGAAAAATTCACTGTGTTTGAGTTGGTGGCATTTTTAAGCCTTGAACCACTCATAGTTAATATCTGTCGGGTTTACTTTACCGGAAGGTGAACATGATGTCTTGAACCAACCGGTGTTTTATGTAAACCGAGACAACATGCATAACGCAGCTTCATTTTCTCGTAGAACTTAGTTCTCTATTGTGTTCAATGTGGCCCTGAACTATTCCTGGTTTTCACGAGTGAACTTAGAGGATATAGCTTGAATTCATTCTCCTAGAAACGACCTCATTTCACACTCACTAGGTGATTGAACATGAAAAGTATTGAGTAATACTTCGCTTTAGAAGCTATGGAATCATTAAAAGCTAATGTTTATCCTTATCATAGCACACTTATCATCTTAGGAGCTGAGAAGAGACTACTTTGTCTCAAGTGCTTTGGTTAGATCATGTTTGATTTTGTTTTCCTTTTGAACCTACGTCTTGGGATCTCCAGTCATTATAGGTAGGGTTGCAATCAAACATCTCCATTTGTAATAGGCTTTAAACCCATTCCTTTTGATGATTTAGCAACAATATCTCGTGGCAAACCTTTAGTAAATGGATCCGCTAGATTTTCAGCTGATATGATGTAGTCTATCGTGATTACACCAGTTGAGATAAGTTGTCTAATTGTTTTATGTCGTCTTCTAATGTGAGGAGATTTACCATTGTAGAGATTATTCTGAGCCCGAGCTATAGCAGATTAGCTATCACAATGTATGTGTATAACTGGCATTGGTTTCTCCCACATAGGGATATCTTCCAAAATTTTTTTAAGTCATTCAGCTTCTTCTGCAGCTTTGTCTAAGGCTATGAACTCAGATTCCATGGTGGATCTGGCTAGAACTGTTTGTTTGGTAGATTTCCATGATATTTCTGATTCTCCTAGTATAAAGACATATCCACTTGTGGATTTTGAGTTTTTAGAATCTGATATCCAGTTAGCATCACTGTATCCTTCTAAAACTGCTGGTTCTTTACCATAGTGAAGTCCAAAATATTTGGTGTAGCGTAAGTAATTGAGTACTCTCGTTATAGCTTTCCATTGTGTATGACCTGGATTACTTGTATATTGACTCAATACGTTTACTGCATGCGCTAGATCTAGTCTTGTGCAATTGGTCAAGTACATGAGACTTACAATCACACGTGCATACTCATTTTGTGAAACAACTTCCCATGAGTTCTTCGTCAAGTGCATTTGGGGATCTAATGGAGTTTTTTCCGTGCTATTAGACTAATTTTTAAATCTCTCCAATATTGTTTCAGCATAATGAGATTGGGTTAATGTAATTCCTTTTGAATTTTTTGAGACTTTAACTCCGAGAATTACATCTGATACTCCCAAGTCTTTCATCTCAAATTTCCCTTTGAGCATGTTCTTTGTTTGATTGATAATTTCTTTGTTGCTTCCAATAATGAGCATATAATCTACATATAGACATAGAAAAACATACGCATTTTTAGTAGTTTTGTAGTATATACATTTGTCACATTAATTAATTTTGAAACCATTTGACGTCATTGTACTGTCAATTTTTTCGTGCCATTGTTTAGGAGCTTGTTTAAGCCCATAAAGTGACTTTACTAGTCGGATACTTTGCCTTCATGTCCGGGAATGACAAAACCCTCAGGTTGTTTCATGTAAATTTCCTCTTCTAAATCACCATTTCGAAAAACGGTTGTTTACATCCATTTGATGGATTTCTATGTCTCTTAAGCCTGCGATTGCTATCAGTCTTATTGATGTTATTCTCGTTACTGGGGAATATAAATCAAAATAGTCATGGCCTTCTTTTTGTTGGAATCCTTGAACTACAAGCCTAGCTTTATATTTTCCACAAGGTTTTCGCGTCATTATCCATTTATTTCCTAATGCTTTGCAGCCAGATGGTAAATAAGTTATGTACCATGTATAATTTTGCATGATATAATCAAATTCACTTCTGACAGCTTCGTTCGAAAACAAACTTTTTGGTGAAGCCATGGCCTTTGCCAAAGTTTTTGGAACATTTTCTACTAGAAATGCCATTAAGAAATCTTCTCCAAAAGATTTTTCCTTTCGAGCTCTTTTGCTCCTTCTAGATTCATCTTTTCATTTTCTGAAATAACATTTGTAGAAATCTCGACGCTTGTCTCAGTTTCTGAAACATTTTCGTTGTCTTTTTTTTGTCCAATTCGTTTTGAACCTTGTTTTTCCTTGCATGGTATTTTCAAAGAAAGATGCATTTCTTGATTCCATTACTGTATTTTCATGGATATCTGATATTTCATATTTATGTACCAGAAACTGATAAGCACTACTGTTATGTGCATATTCGATGAAGATGCAATCCACTGTTTTAGGTCCAATATTGACATTTTTTTGTGGTGGTACCACAACTTTTTCCAAGCACCCGCACACTTTAAGATATTTATACAATGGTAAATTACCTTTCCATAATTCATATGGAGTTTTGCCAGTTACTTTGTGTGAAATTTTGTTGAGGATATAATTAGTGGTAAGCAGCGCTTCCCCCCACATGTTCTCGGGTAACCCAGATTCCTGCAACATTGCATTCATCATCTCTTTTAGAGTTCGATTTTTGCGTTCAGCAACTCCATTAGATTCTGGTGAGTAAGGGGCTGTAGTTTGATGGATTATTCCATGTTCTTTACAAAATTCATTGAATGGCCCATCATAATCGCCTCCTCTATCGCTTATAACTATTTTAATAGTTGTTTTAAGCTGATTTTCTACCTCGATTTTAAATTCTTTGAATTTTTCTAAGGTTTCATCTTTGCTACGTAATAAGTATACACAACAATATTTTGTACAGTCATCTATGAAGGTCACAATGTACTTTTTCCCACCTCTAGTTTGTATATATTTTAAATCAAATAAATCGGTGTGAATTAAGTCTAGAGGTTTGTTAGTTCTTTCAACATGAGGTGAGGGTGTTTGGTGAGTTTAGCATGTACGCATACTTCACATTTTTGTTTACTTGTTTTACATTTTGGGATTAGATTTATATTCATTACATTCATTTTGACCAGTACATCCTTAACATACCCATTTCCCAAATACACCCCATTCTTCCTAATCACGAGGTTGTCCGCCTGAAGAGATGTGGCGAATCCATTCTTGCTGAGCAAGGTTCCTGAAACCAAGTTCTTCCTCATGTCAGGCACATGCTTCACATTCTGCAGAGTGACTTCACGCCCAAATATCATGTTCAGAACCATCTTGCCGCGGCCTTCAATCTTGGAGACTACTTTGTTCCCCATGAACAACTTCTCCTGAATGTTGCTTTTCTGATAAGTGCTGAACATCACCCTATCAGTGCAAATGTGGGTGGTGGCCCCAGTATCATACCACCATTCTTTGGGGTTGTTGTTTTCAACCATGTTGACTTCAATCACCACTGCAACAAAATCTTTTTCCGTGAGATTCACTTGGGCCTTCTCATCTCTGATCTTGATGTGACATTCAACAGTCTTATGTCCAACTTTGCCGCAATAGTGACACTTACCCTTGAATTTCTCCACATTCGCATTGATTTCATTGCCTTTGCCTTTTTTTTTTTAAGTTTGGTCTAGAAACCTTCAAGTTTGCAGCTATCTTGGAAGGCTTGGCAAGAGAATAAGAAATTGCCTTTCCTTTACCTTTCGTTTCAGCCACATTAACATTGTGCTCTTTAGCTTCGGGCTTGTCATTCTTTCGATTTCTGGCTTCCATCTGAAGCCTCTATATGAGATCCTCAAGTCCCACCATGGTCGCCAATTGTTGGATCAATTTTTATTATGCCCAAAGTTTATCAATAATTGTCATTACGTCAAGAGAAATATGCCTAGCCTTTCTGATTAAATAAAGAGAAAGATAGCAAGTCTCACATCGACTAAAAGAAGGGAAATTCACCCACATATATATATGTTGTGTCTCTTATCTTGGTTCAAACGGCTCAGAGGTGGAGAGAGCTCCCTACGTGCGTGCCGCTCGGCTCGGCTCGGCGTGTGCATGGGCTTGGGCTTGGGCTTGAGTTTGGGTGGAGGGCCTTTGGCCCGATAAGAAGTTATCTTTTTGGACCAAGTTAAGTTCAACGTTTTGCCATTTCATTTAAAACAGCATGATATTTGTGTATAAACGACGTGTAGTTCGTTTAAAAACGTCACGACGTTTATCTGTTTGAAGTGGTTAAGAACGAGTCAACTAAGAGAGAAACTTGCGGAGAAAGCTGCTCACGTTCCCTTCGAGATCCTTGAGAGATTTTCGGAAGACGTTTGCAACAGTTTCGAAAAACCGCTCCTCATCTCCTCTTTAAATATGGTCTCTCCTCCTCCAACATTGATCACTTTTTTCAGATCGTAAATCCAACAGAAAAACTTCCAAAGTAAGTCTAGAGAGTGTTTCGTAATTATTTAGTTCGTTAGGGCGTTTCACGAGTGAAGCGTGATTCGTCGCCATGGTTATTGATGGAACTCAGTATTCGTACAATTTCTTCTCACTACGGAGCGAATATTCAGAGTTAAGGAAAGAGATTATATCTCGTCTCCATGTTCTTTTTTCGTCTTTCTGAATCATCTATTTCCTTAACTCTGATTCTATTTTATTGTTTATGTCGATCCGGTTTACCGACTCTACAATCTTAGCTCTGAATCACTTTAGTTCTAAAGCGTGTAATCGGATTGAAAACGGTTTATAGAACGGTTTTTTGGTTATATTTGGAACGATGTTTGCGATTTGTTTCTGGCATTTCCGTGAAACGTTTTTTACTTATATAAAAACGGTTTGGGTTTTGCTCTGTAACATTATCGCGAAACGTTTATTACATATCTCTTAACGGTTTGCGTTTTTTGCTCTATATAGCACTACCACAAAACTTTTTGTCATTCATGATTCTTATAACAGTCTTTGGAACAGTGTTTGCGATTTGGTTTTACCATTTCCACGAAATGTTCCTTACTTAACTAATTAGACCCATTGGTTTAGTTAACTGGTCTAACTAATTAACATTTAACCGGTATATCTAACTAGCGTCACTGTCAATCGATTTTGAGTTTGGAACCATTAAACTTAAAAAAAGAAAAAAAACAGTTTTCAGACTACCTCGATTTGATTTAACAATGCAGCAATGTGGAACACCGTGTTACCATCTTCATCCTTCCAGTCCAGGATGTCCTCCTTGTTTGCTCTCTTAACCCATCCCAATAAAGCCTTGAATGCCTCAATCTGGCGGCTCTTCACAGCAACGTGCGCGGCTGTCTGGCGTTTGATCGTCACTTCTTCTATAGAAGAAGGACAAGTGAACAAAAACTCACTCAACAACTCTGCATCACCTCTTTCAGCCACAAGATGCAAAGGGGTGGTCCTTCCTCTTCCCTTAATGCTTACTAAGCTGTTATCAATCGCCATAAACCCTCTCACAATCTTAACATGATTGTTTTGCAGAGCTAAATGCATGGGACTGAGACCCGATGGGTTTAGCTTGTGAGCAAGCGAGGGCTTAAGGGTCAATAGCTCCATGGCGAAATGCGTTTTCCCTTTTTCTGACGCTGTGTGAAGTGGTGTCTCGCAGAAAGGCACTTGATCGAAGCCTCCAAGAATGTTTGGATCTTCTGCAATCAACTGGTAGAGTCTCTCAATATCCCCACTTTCAGCTCGTCTTCAACCTCACGTTGATATCGTCATCTTCTCGACTTCCATGTTGATCTTCCAGATCTGATTCTCCATTGACATCCACAAGAATCGACATGACTTCACTATTCAACAAAGGATAGGCTTCACGAGCTATTATGATTTTTTATATATAGTGAAAACTACCTAGAGTAATTTTTTAAAACCCATTAATAACTACAACTACAGTAGTTGGTTGATCCACGTAAGAGCATCAGACATAGAGAGATTTTAATAATTTTTACATTGATGATGTGGTAAAATAATATGTGATGAATAAGTGTTTCGTCCACATATAGCATGCATAAAACAGGCTCAATCATGCAAGGATAAAGACCAATCCAAGGAAGTCGTATTCGGATGGGTCCGTTCTGAGAATTTGAATTGAGCTTCTTGCCAAACTGCACTCTCTATTAAAGAGGAAATTAAATAATTACAAATATACCACTTGTGTTTTGTGAAATATGTCTAAGAAAATTTTTTTTTCACAAATATATACTTTTTTATGCAGAAATTGTAAAGTTCAAGAAAATTATTTGAATTGTTGTGGCATGTTAAAAGTTACTGCAAATTGATAATTACACAAGTGAAATTTTTATAATAATAATTTAATGTGTTTGTGTTACTTATTATATGTGAAAACACTAGAAAATTTATTTTAAAAGCGGAAATTATATTAAATTAAATATCTGTGTTAATTAGTTATGTAATAGATACTTATTATAGGTATTAAATGAATCTTCAAGTGTTAAAAAAAAATGAATCTTCAAGTGTTTCGGATACTTATTCAGAATAAAATTTATGTTAATATGGGTATCTTCTAGACTTTTGAAATTTTCAAACTTTTTTGATATCCATGCGAGCTAAGAATCGGTTCGGATATCAATTTTACCGTAAAAAAGTCATATTATGTAAGAATCAGTTCAAATTTTTTGAATTCGGTTTATTTTTTCATCTTTATCTACACAAAAGTTTTTTTACAGTTGGATTGTAATATTTTTTTACAATTAGCAAATAAATATAGAAAATTGATCATACACCAGTAGAAATCCAAAAGAGATAATCTTTGTATTAATCTAAAAAAAACTAAACTTCAAACTTAGTTAAGAATGATTGCTATTTATTTTGAGACAATTAAAGAAGAGATTACCGTTCCATAGAATTTCATGATGTCTTTCAAAATAATCATAATTTGCAACAAGAACTCTATCACCATCAAATGTAGGACCTTCAGCTATCTTTTCTAAGCAATTCAATTAAATTAAAGTTTTGGTCTTTCAAAATCTTTTGAAAAAACTATACAAAAAAACAATCCAAGATTTTTTCAAACATGGGCTACTTCGCATCTAAAGGAGAGAAAATTTTGTAACTAAAAAAAAGATGTCTAAACCAAATTCGATTCGAGAAATAACTGGAATCTGTTCTAACAATTACTTTAAGACTTATAAATAAGCCTAGTGCTAAGTTAGTTAAGAATAAGATAAGTATTTTGAAGAGTTTTATATAATTTTATTAGTTTGAACATTTTTTAATAATATACATTTAAAATATTAGTTTGAACATTTTTTTCAGTAATAATATACATTCAGAAATTTTAATGATTTTCAAAAAAAAAAAGAAGAAATCAGTAATAAAATTGGAAAATGGAGAACAAAATAATCCAATAACAAGCCTTAAGAAATGATCTAATATCCCAGATTCGAAGTAGCCCATCTATTGCACCCGGTTTTAAATACCCGAACCTGTATCTCAAACCGGTTTTATATCTTTAACCCGTAACTGAATCCACTGACCTAGAAATTGATTTTTGATTCTTCTTATCCACAATCCAATCCTCTTCTTCTTCTTCTTCTTCATCACAGAGACGTTAATGGCGACTTCCTTCTCACTCACGAGCTTCATCTCCTTAATCTCCCCTTTCAAATCCCAAACCAAACCAACTCCACCACCTCCAAATCTCACTCTCCCAACTCCAACACTCTCCCACAAACAAAGAAACAATCTCTCCATCGACGATCCTCCTCCTTCTTCCAACAACGCCTCCGTGATATGCCCTTCCCTCGCTTACGCCAACACGCTCTTCTTCAGCAGCTCGGGGTACAACGTCCAGGTCTTCGTGGAAGATAACGAGTCGGAGGAGAGGCTGGTGAATCGGTTTAGGAGGGAAGTGATGAGGACGGGAGTGATTCAGGAGTGTAAGAGGAGGAGGTACTTTGAGAATAAACAGGATGAGAAGAAGAGAAGGACTCGTGATGCTGCTAAGCGTAATAAGAAAAGGTTTACTTTTAACCTTTATCTCCTTCAATGTCTTTTAGCTTTGAAGAATTGAGATGTATTGTTGTTTGTTTTCAGGCGTCCGTTTCAAGCAAGGTTTCAAGAGGGTAGAGAAGAGGCAGCAGCAGCAGCAGCAACGAAGAGTAAGAAGAAGGATGAGGAAGAAGATAACTGGGAGATGCCTGATGGTGATGTTCCTTCTTGAACACGGTTTTGAGTAAATACATATCTTCCATCCGTTTTGGGTTACTTTTATCTCCTTTGATTGATTACTAGGTACATTGTATGTTCAAATGCGAGAGTTCGATTCTTGTCAAATGTTAAAGACTTCTTTTTGTGATGACTAAAAATTTTCATTCCATTTGGTTTCTCTAATGGAAGATGAATCATGGATGCAGATTGTTTATCTTTGCTTTTTAGGAGATGCATTTTTAACCCCTTTGATTACATACTTTTGCACTTTGATAATGGTGCTGAATTGCTGATACATATAGCTAGGAAGAGAAACTGGCATATATATATAGGGAAATGCATGAAACTGTTTACTTAAAGAGATCAAAGTTAGGAAGAAAGTAAACAAAACAAGCTTTGGAAGTTGGATCGAAGCTAGGATCTTTAGTGGTTGTTGAATCGTTGATAAGTACATGTTCTCTGTTTTTGTTATGTGTATGTTAAAGTAGAAAGTTTGCATCATCAGATTTGCTGAATAAGTTGCCTTAACTTGCAAGCAAGATTTTAAAACCATCCGATTTGGATATAGAAGTTTACCTTTTGTGGGTTAACTACTTCTCACACCTAAAGCTTCTACTTCCTCTTTGTTTTACTTTAAAATCAAAAACAGGGCTAGTAAGCAGGTTTCAATTAGTCTGAAATTTAGTGAAGAAGTATTCCAAGAATGGATCACCACTTGTAAGACTCACCAGAGTTTTTATTCCTGAGATGTCTCTCAATCTTTCATATATTCTCTACAAATTCATTTCACAGCCAGAAATGCAGTTTCGGAGCTCATCTTCTTCCTCCTCTCCATGGACAACGATGATGTTGCCAGTTAGACTTCTCTTTCTTCACGCTAGTCTTCATTGGAGACGCTGTTGAAAATTCTCCTGAATTTTCACCTGAGAGATAAGAAGAGCTCAGAGATGATGACCCTCCAGAGGTTTCCACCTCTTATGCAATCTCTGAAAATCTCACCAAGCTTCTTCTCTTGAAATATATGTTTGTTGACACGAAGAATCTTTTTCACTTGGAATTTCCTATTTTGTTTTCGAATCTCTAATTACATGGGCCAAAGCCAATAATAAAGGCCCATTAAAAGGCAACCATTTATTACAATAGTCACGTGTTGACTTGAGTCATGTCGGCGACACACTTCACTCTCTAGTAACGACGATATCAACTCCGAGAAACGGGACTGTAGTAGAAAGAAAGTCCACCGACTTCTCTCCCTCTGAAAATCTCAGGTACGCTCCATCTTCTCTCTTACCATCACACTCATGAATTGTTTTGTTCTCATATTAATTTCAAGTAGATCTGAATGTTTAGCCATCGTCATCCTCTAGAATCTGAATCTCGAAAAATATCTATGTGCAGATCAAATCACAGATGCAACGATTGTAATTAAACTTTTAGCTTTAGATCTCTTCTTGAAACATCTGCAAAGATGGGATCTGTCTCCCTCAAGATCGGCGACGGAACCGCCAGATTCCGACGAACATCCATCTGCTCCTCCGCCGTAAACCTCCTCATGCTCTTCTCCGTCGTCACCACAAACCTCTTCGCCTTATACGCCTTCTCCTCCCACTCCCAATCCCAATCCCCCAACTCTCCCCTCCTCCACCACTCCCAAAACATCTCCCTCGTCTCCCAACACCTCTCCCTCATCCTCCGAGAGATCGACACCTCCCAACGCAAACTCGCTCAGATGGAAAAACAACTCCTCGGCTACGAATCAATCGACCTCTCCCGCCCCAACACCGTCCCCGAACTCAAACTCTACCTCCAGCGCCACCAGCTCCCTCTCGGTAAAGACTCGAGAACCGGAATCACGGAGATGGTCTCCTCAGTGGGTCACACCTGCGAGAAATCTCCGGATTTGCTTTCGCAGTATATGTCGTACAAAGTGTTTGATAAGTGTCCTGATGACTGGAGCCTCGGGCAAAAGCTCGTCATCCGCGGATGCGAGCCTTTGCCCAGGAGACGTTGCTTGGCGAAAACCGTCGCCAAGCAAGATCTCAGGCCGTTTCCGGAGTCTTTATGGAAGCCTGTTGGTAACAAGAGTGTTAACTGGAGTGGGCTTGGTGGCTGCAAGAGCTTTGATTGCTTGAGAGGGAAGAAACTCGGCCCGGATTGTTTCGGATGCTTCGAGTTAGGTAACGAGAAAGATAGGTTCGTGAAGATTAAGTGGAAGAACGACTTCTTGATCGACGATGTTTTGAGTTTAGGCAACGGGAAGATCAGGATTGGGTTCGATGTTACCGGTGGTGGTTCAGGGACTTTCGCGGCGCGGATGGCTGAGAGGAATGTTACTGTGATTACCAACACGTTGAACAACGGTGGTCCGTTTAGTGAATTCGTGGCGGCGAGAGGGGTTTTCCCGTTGTTTTTGAGTTTGGATCATAGGTTTCCTTTTCATGACAATGTGTTTGATCTTGTTCATGGCTCGAGTGGGTTGGATGTTGATGGGAAGGTGGAGAAGATGGAGTTTTTGATGTTTGATCTTGATAGGGTTTTGAAGCCTGGTGGGTTGTTTTGGTTGGATAATTTTTACTGTGCTAGTGACTTGAAGAAGAAGGAGATGACGCGTTTGATTGAGAGGTTTGGGTATAAGAAGCTGAAGTGGGTTATTGGTGAGAAGGCTGATGGGCAAGTTTATCTCTCTGCTGTTCTGCAAAAGCCTGTGAGGGTTTGATCGTGATGGTAAGAGTAATACTCTTTACTGTTTACTTTGATCATATGATATACAGAATTGGATTTCATGTGGGGATATTTGTATCAGAGAAGAATAAGCATCAATTAATGTCGATTATTTATTTATGGAGGCTATTGAAGAATCATTTGTATAAGCTTATCAGTTACTGTTTTTTTTTTTTAATTTTGTCGATTATAGTTACTTTTTGCAATTCATATCCTTATAAATTACGGTATTACGCTTTTGTTGTTTTGCTCATATAACTCTCCCTCTCCTTATATAGCAATCAAAGACAGATTAAAGAAGATTGAAAACTCAATTAGTAAGAAGACTGAGGTAAATTCAGATAACCAAGTACAGTAATATTCTTTATTGAAACAAACCGGGAAAGATGAAGCGTACCGGTATGTGAGGAGAAACAAAGCATAGTGTATAACTTCAAAATCATGTTTGATTATGAGGCAGAAATATTTGTTTTCGTTATTATCCTCATAACACTCTAGAGAAACTAGGAAGGGAAAAAGAAAAGAAATATGAGGTCTTTTCACCATCCGGCGAGAACTGGTCCCATCAAAGATTTTTGCGTCACATAAAAAATAGAGATACGTTATTACCCAGAGAAAGAAAGGCTCTTCTCTTTTTTAAAACATCCATAGCTGAAAAGAAGACTGTGTTTTTAGTTCACGACGTCAAGAACCAGCTTGCGGGACTTGAGAACCGACCATTTCAGTCGCCTGTAGTACGCTGCTTGGAGGAGAGCGAGCGATAGTAGGAATATCCATTTGAATCCCATCTGCAAAATAATGAAACCACAAACATTAATAGCCGTGTAAAATGTGGACATACAAGAATTCATTCCCAGTTATAGCTGGTTGTTTGAATCCGTCTAGAAGCTGGGTCTTAAAAACGAGACAAACCGGCATATCGAGATGTTAATGTCTAAGTAGCAAACCAATAACTATAAGCAAACACACACTTGGGCCAAGAACAACGACTCGTTTGTCTAGTAACTACTGACATGAAATTTTGCCACGTTAAACAGAATGTAATATGCACCGGAGAAGAAGAAAAAAGGAAGATAAACGTACCAACTTCCTCTCTTCCATTTCTGGCTCAGCTGCCCAGGACAAGAATGACACAACATCTTTACCCATCTGCGGGTAATTCAAAGAATAAAGTTAATACTATGACACTGACCAAGGCTGTCCATTGAGCTCCAAGATTCGTCTTTCCAAATATTTCAAACAGCGGAAAACTAACCTGTGCCTCGGTGGCAGGGACACCATCTTCATACTCAACAGCTTCATCATTGAGCATTTTCGGCATAGCAATTGCTCCCCCAGGGAAATAAGGATTGTAGTGTAACCCCTCTCTAATCTGCAAAATTACCAAGCGTTCTTTCACAACCAAAAAAATAGAATTCGAAGATGCACAGTGTAAGAAGTGAGATAGAAATTACTGAAATGCCAGCAGGAGGATCACGGTAACCCGTCAGAAGAGCAAAGACGTAGTTCTGACCGTTGTGACGTGCCTAGCAGACAGAACACTGAACCATTTAGATCACCAAACACAAATTTTGCTACAAATCTTCATCTTAAGCATAAAAAACAGCACACCTTAGTGATAAGACTGAGATCAGGAGGATACGCTCCACCATTAGCAAACCTTGCAGCAGATTCATTGGCATATGGCTGAGGCAAGCGGTCACTGAGTTTACCAGGACGGGTGAACATCTCACCCTCATCATTAGGTCCATCAACAACCTCGATTTCAGCTGCCATTGCCTTAGCCTCTTCCTCAGTGTAGGCTACACCCACCAAATCTCGGTATGAGATCAGAGACATTGAATGGCAAGATGCACACACTTGCTGATAAACTTGATGCCCACGACGGATCCTGCTCACACAACATCAAACATTCATCAGTTAACACTGTAGAAGTCTTTTAGCTCAAGTTTCACAGTCTAACTATCTACGGGATATGATAAGCACATTAACTTATAAAAGAAAAAAAGAGAGTGGTAAGAAGAAGGAGCTAATAACACTTACGAAGCATGGTCATAAGAGCTGAGAATGCCATCATGAGGCCAAGGGTAGTCTGGACAGGCCAACCCGTGTTCAGCCTCATCAGCAGATGCTACTGTAGAAAAACTCAATAGACCAGTAACACCAGCACCCAAGAGAGCAAATGCTCTAACACCAGAAGACCCAGCATCCACATTAGCTTTTGTTGAAGATAACCACGACCGGACCGGAGTTGCCTGTACGAACACCAACACAAAAACCAATACTATGAGAAAAGTCTATGCTGCAAAATTGATGCTGACAATATGCAATGTCAAAAGATTACTGCAAAACAGCAAAGCAGAAGCTAGGCACAAATCAAAAGACCCTGTCACAAATCATACAAATCACAGTCTCCTGTCTTATACTAATATCCCAAAACACGAAGCTATTTACCGACAAAACCCAAACAGACAGCAAGAGGACAATCTCTTACAACAGATCCCAAGCTGTAATAACGTCTTACCCAAATAAAAATAGAATTATAAAACAAAGAAAAAAAAAAGGTAGAGACTGGAGAAAAATCTCACAAGTGATTGGGAGTGAAGCTTCCTCCTGAGAATCTGTTGGATAAATCCTCCTCCTACCATTTTGGTTAACGCTTTTTGTACCAAATCAACTCGCTGAAGAACAAAGAAACTTGAAATCAAAACATAATAATGAAGCAGTGATAATGCGAATGCACAAACAAAAGCGAACAAGACCTAGAAAATCCGAGTCTACAATCTACAGATCCGTCAGATATATAAAAATAGATAGCTATAAATCAAATGTCAAATAATACATCGAGGGATTCGAATACGAGATATACCAACAGAGAGAGAGTCTCACCGGGAGATATAGCGACGAGATCGGCGACGGAGACGAGCGAAGAAGAAAAAGAGAAACGAGAGAAAATGGGTGTTCCACGATGGCACAGCGGCTGCTTAACACACGACTGTTTTTACTCTTTTGGGCCTATGGGCCAACGTAAAACTACTTGAGCCCAATGTTTCTACAACAAACATAAATATAGCATTAGGCTGGGTTTACTTTTTTTTTTTACCAATGACAAACTTCATGTCGTTTCGCCATTCAGAGGAAAAACTCCTATCTGTTTTCTTCTAGCCTTAGTAGGGCTGGATATTTTATTGGATACCCAAACTGATCCGAAAAATTCAATCTGAAAAAACCCAAACCAAAATCCAAACTGATAAGATGAAAATACCAAGACGGATATTAAATTATGAGAAATTAAATATTCAAACAAGAACGGATAATATCTGAACTCAAATGAATATTTGAAGATAACTAAACATATGTATACTCAACTCTATATTCTTAGTTTTTTTCTTTTATTTTATATAAAATATTTATATTAATGTTATACATGGCTCAAAATCATATAATTGTAGAAAATATGATTTGATGTATACTTAAAATGCATGTCGAATTTCTTATTTAATTCGTTAACAAAAGTTCCAAAATCTCAAAACGATAACGAGATTATTGTCTTTCTATTTCCAAAGTTTATTTCAAATTTATTAATCAATCAACCTATTAAAATTTTAGAATATAAATTAAGATAATAGTAAATTTTAGATTAAAAAAAATGAGCAATGGAAAATTTGATTCTTTTTTTACTTTCAAAATTTAAATAACCGAACATGAACTAAAATTATCTAAATTCGATTTGTTATATGTACTAAACTCCAATATTGGAATGGAATATCCGAAATAGCCGACCTGAATCCGAACCGAACCTGAAGACCGAGGCCGATAGCCTACTGAACTCACCAGTGGCTTCTAGAAGAGGAAACTATTTAAAACTACACGCAAACTCACATGAGCAAACCAGTCAACTAACACATGTTAATAAAAAAAAAAGTCAAATAGTCACCGTCTAATTACGTCACACGCCCTAACTTTCTACCGTAAAGGAAACGCACGTTAATTTACCGCAGACAAGAGCATACTGACCGTTGGATATAGATCTGTCGGCTATTACCTCAATCAATATCGTCCGTCCGATCATTAAAAAAATTGGAGGCAGGAGCTTTTGTCGGTGTAAGAAACTAAAGCCTTTTGTTTTTTAAACATAAAAAAAGTTCTCTCTCTAAAGTCTCCGACTTGGTTTTGTCTCGAGCTTTCTTTCACGCGAAAGCTTTGATATTTATCATACGAAGGTTTTGCCCACGATTCGATCTCGAGGGTTTCTGGTTTTTCTCCGTTTCAATTCCAGATTTTAGGGTTTGCTGCTCAATTCGCGATTCAAGGGTTCACGGATCATTGGGCACTCCGAATTTGGGGGCGATTTGAAAAACTAGGGTTTCGGTAAAAAACTTTCCCTTGCTTCTTTCCTAGCTTGCTCGCATCTGAGGTTAAGGTTTCAAAGCTTCGTCTTGTCTGATTTGAAGTTGATTTCCGTGGAAGAGTTTGAAACTTGGCTTGTGACGATTACAGGAGCTGCTAATGGTAAAATTCAATCTATTTTTGTCATGGGTTTTCACCAATTCGAATTATTAGATTTGAAAAAGAGGGTTTTGTTGGAATTGGCATCATGCTTAGGGCTAGGGTTCTTGACTCCAAAAGCTAGATAAAAAAAATTGGGAATATTCCACCTTTTTCCGACAGTTTGTGTGTATGTTTGATTCGGACATTATTAATTCATGTTGTGTCGATCCATCTAGCTGTTTGTGTCATAACAAGTTCTTTTCCGTGGAAACTTTGTGGTAATGTTGCAAATATTTTGAACTTGTTGTTTGCTGGTGAGTTTTGAGAGGGGGAAGTATTAGTGTATGTTGATTAAGTGAATAGATATTTTATATATGTGATGCAGGTCTCTTGCATAAGGTGAATTATAGAAGCGAGTAAGCGTTATAGTTAGTGGGAAAACTTTTGCCAAAAAAAAACAATGGTTGAAAGTGCTGCCTTCCCCGGAGGTTACTACAGGAACACTTTCCAAGCTCCTGATGAATCAGAGGGCTCTGGAAGCTCTGCTCAGATTGATACCGAGGTCACCGCCTCTGAGAATTCAAGCACTCCTGCACGAAAGTGTGTAAAGCTGAACGCTAATGATGAAGATCCTTACGGTGTCCAGAGACAAGTCATTTCGTTGTATAGCATGTCACAATCTGAGAGAAAGGATTTGATCCATCGGCTCAAACAGGAGCTGGAGCAGACTAAGATAGTTCTTAAAAACGCTGAGTTGCTTAATCCAGCCTCTTCGTCGTTTACTACTGCTCATAAGCTACCGTCTCGGTCGAAGAGGCCTTCTGATTTTGCAAGGGGACCAGGAAAGAACGTTGGGTCTACTTCTCGTGGATGGAACCGTGGCTCCTCGGGGAAGTTTGAGTCTTCTTCTAAAGAGTCTGTGGCCACACTGATGAAGCAATGCGACACGCTGCTTAAGAAGCTCTGGACTCATCCGCATTCTTGGGTTTTTCAGGCGCCTGTTGATGTAGTGAAACTGAACTTACCTGACTATCTCACTATTATCAAACATCCCATGGACTTAGGGACAGTAAAGAAGAACTTAGCCTCTGGTGTATACTCAAGCCCACATGAGTTTGCTGCTGATGTGAGGCTTACATTCACCAACGCAATGACGTATAACCCTCCAGGGCATGATGTTCACATTATGGCGGATATTCTTAGTAAGTTGTTTGAAGCGCGGTGGAAAGTTATCGAGAAGAAGTTACCAGTGCCTGCAGTTACATTAGAACCTAGTGAAGAAAGGAGAACTGTTATCTCTGCCCCTCCCACTAAGAAGAGAAAGATGGCTTCACCTGTTAGAGAGAGAGTTCCAGAACCTGTGAAGCCAGTAATGACAGAAGAGGACAGGCATAGATTGGGGAGACAACTGGAGTCACTACTGGATGAAAATCCTGCACAGATTGTTGACTTTTTGAAGAAACACAGTTCAAATGGGGGGGAAATTGCGGAAGATGAAATTGAGATAGACATTGATGTTCTCAGTGATGAAGTACTACGCACTCTTCAGAAACTTATGGATGAATATATCAAAGGTAAAGAAGCGAAGCAGTCTATTAATGGATCAGGACCGAGCAATTCGTCTCTCCAACGAGGTGAAACTCAGATTCTGTTTACAAATTATGTTATATATTTCTTCTGGACAGTGACCTCTGTGTCCACCAATTTTCTTACCTTGAATCTGCTTCTGTGTTTCATTTATAGGAAATGAAATTGCTGTTGAGTATGTCGGTGGAAACGAACCTCCTATCTCAGGAACCTCCAGTGGTTAGTTTTTATCTATATAAAGTTCTTAACTCATTAACATTTTTTTGTTCTAGGTTCTCTATGGATGTTATAATATATCACAATCTCATGTTTGTATCAGAACATTAATATATTGCCTTCCCCCCTTTGTTAATATCATAGGGGTTAGTAGCATCTGTTATTGTAACAGATTCTGTGTGTTTACTGAATTGGGTGTTGCTTTTCAGATTCCGATTCTGGTAGCTCTGAAGATCATACTGATGACGCTAAACCTATGATCCAAGAGGGTTCTTCCAAGGTATATATATCTACATTTTCAGCTTCTCAAGGAATGTAATTTGTTATGATTCTAAACCACGAAGCTGGTAACTTTTTAGATGCCTGAAACTGAGGCACAAAGAGATGAAGATGCAAGAATGGATGATCTTCTTGAAGGAAATCGTGAGTATTCAATATCTTTAGAATTAAATAAGTGAGAGTTTGTTGTTTATTCCAACCATGGTTGTCCTGTGTGACTCAGCTTCCTTGATAGTTTTATCTATAGTTGGCCGCAGTAGAGAAATGTAATAGATGTTGGTGATCTTGTTTCTTTTTTTGGGATACATATTTATAGTTTGTACCTCTTGTGTATGGATTAACAGAATCTACTGGTGCGCCGGAGCAGCAAAAGCCTAGTTCGGATGAATCAGATGGCCAAGCTGATGGTGAGATACATAGAAAATGAGTTCGTTTCTTTTTGAGTCATGAAGTGAGTATCTCACAGTTTATTGATATAATGCTTCAGGGAATACATTAGAGACTCCGGCTCCATCTGAAAAGCAATATAGAGCTGCGCTGTTGAAGAACAAATTTGCAGATATCATTCTAAAAGCACGCGAGAAAACACTTCCACAGGTCTGTAAATACTTCCCTTTGTTTAGCCTAATCTTTATTTGACTTAACGTGGTGACAACTTACTATTGAAATTACTTACATATGATCTTGAATGAGAGCAGAATAAGGGTGATCCGGAAAAGCTTCGCAAGGAAAGAGAAGAACTCGAACTACAGATGAAGAAAGGTTCATTAAACTTTTGTTTTGTCTCTCCTGAAGCTTCTTACAGAGAACATGTTTTTAGTTTTATGTTCTTCTAAGTTCTAACTTCTAACTGAAAACCATCTATTTATGTTGCCAGAGAGAGCACGGCTACAAGCTGAAGCAGAGGCTGCTGAAGTTGCTCGTCGCCAAGCTGAAGCAGAGGCTGCTGCAGAAGCTGCTGCTGAGTCTAAGCGTAAGAGAGAGCTTGAAAGAGAAGCCGCTCGCCAAGCTTTATTGCAGGTAAATAGCAAAAACATATGCCTTACATTCAGTAAAGAGAAACATGTGGATAATAATATTGTTTTGAGTTCCGTGTAGATGGAGAAAACTGTAGAGATCAACGAGAACTCGCGGTTCCTAGAGGACTTAGAGATGCTGAGTTCGAGTGTTCCAGAGCAATTAACTAACTCAGCTGATGAAATCAGCCCCGAGAAGTCTTTAGACGCCCTTGGAAGTTTCAACTTCAGAGGAATCAACCCTCTTGAGCAACTCGGACTGTACATGAAACAAGATGATGATGAAGAGGAACCCGAGGCTCCTGCTTGTGTTCCAAAGCTAGCCACCGACGTGGAAGAAGGTGAAATCGATTGAAAAGGAAAAGGAGTGTATATAGATAATATATGCATGTATAAAAAACAATAGCCAGGGCTAGTCCAGCCTATGACTCAGGGTCTTAAGAATGAGTGTACACAGAGACGCAAAAAGAAAAATGAAGGTGTTAGCCTTTTAAGAAGAGGTCCAGATCTTTTTCAAGCCAGTGTGGTGTGTGATTATGTAGAACAGTAAACGCTTTAAACTCCATGAGGAGAAGAGTTCTTAGTGTATGGTAAGAAGAAAAGAAAAGAAGGCAAGACCGTTGTGTATGTAAGATTCTATCTTTACATTTGTTAGTGTTGAGAGTTTAAACCATTCAATATTTAGCGTTGAATCATCTCTTGTGTGGATCTGAAACTGAAGTTTTTGATGTTTTCCAATATTATTGAGCTGCTCAGGTCATAAGTTTAATGTTAAAAGGTATTGAGAATGTTTGTGTTTGGAACTTTTTCAAAGCATATAAACAACTCAAAAAAATCAAACATTGTGAGAATTCAAATCAAACATGTAATTTAAACTTTGTAAACAAACTTTAAAGCTTCAAAGACTACACATAAGAGACAATATACGTGATTCAAATTTTCATTATATTGTAGTTTACGAGTAAAACTTGTACTCCTTAGCTTGAATAATGATCGTCCTTAGCCCTCCAATTGGCGAAAGAACCATCAAGCAAACGCCAAATACAATGCATATCTGAAAAAAAAAAAAAAAAAACGCCAATAAAATTCAACGTAAGAACCATTTCTTCTTTAGAAACGCAACCTCAAACGCAAGAAGGTGTACTATGTTGAGTTGCTGATACTTACCCAGTTGGTCCACCAAGACAAGCTGTATCTCTTTGGTTTGTATATTGCAAGCCACATTACACAAGGAAGCTTATTTTGCAACAAAAAAAAACATTTATTATTTAGTCTTATTTCTTTTTAAAAAATCGTTTCAGCAAACGTAGACTTACGAAATATGTTGTCGGAGCAAACGCAAATCCACCAAAAAACGCCAATAGACCGCCGAAAAACGGAAACGTCATACCAACAAACATTGTTGCGGCTGAAGAATCATAATCATAATCAAATCTCATTAGTTGATAATTAAAATAGATCACATAAACTGTATATACACACATAAATTAACACTTACCAACGTAGAAATTACGGACAACGAACCGGAGATACCAACTCGGTCTAAAATTCATCTTCTTAACCAAAACAGTCTCCATCATATCGAAAACCGGCATTGCATATATCTGAACAAAAAAAAATTGATTACGGTTTATATACTCCGGTTTTAAAAAACGGTTTAATAAAAAATAAACCAACCTGGTAGCTACCAATGACATGAATCACAACAAACATGTTGGCCATTGCGATTAACCAAGCCGGTTTCTCGAGCGTTTCAAGAATGTTGTCATCAACAGAGTTACCAAACATCCAGTAACCAACAAGTGCCACGGGGAAGTAACAAAGCGCGACGACAATGTAAGCAACGACGACTCCTTTCCACATTGGTCCTTTTGATGGCTTTTCTGGTGTTGATGGGATCGTGGCTTGGATTTCTAGGACAACGTTGTGTCCTGCGTAAGCAAACGCTACTTCTCCTAACGCGCTGAAGAAGTTGAATACTGTTCCTGCTGTTGATTTTGCTTTGTAACCGTACTCAACGTTTTCTTTAACGCCTTTAGCAACTGAGGCTGACCATGCTATTGTGGAGTAGCTGGTATTGACCAAAATGTTAAAAGTGGATTTAGATCCGGTTAAGTTTTTCAAGATATCGGTTTGGAAAATTCGGTACTAATTGAGACATCTAATCCAATAAAAACCGATCCGGTACTAATTGAGGCATCTGAAGTAAGTATTTAATTTTTTTTTTGTAATTTTATATGAAATCTGAAAGTATATAAAACCCAAATTATTGACCGAATCTAAAATGAGTTCTAAACAAAATTGGATTTTAAAATGAACTATAAAATATATATATGAACCTAAAGTACTCTAAACATGGGAAATATATAAAATCCGAATTTTTTTTTTTGGTCAAGGTAAAATCTGAATTAAGTCTATGAAGGTGAACCAAAAATCCATAACCAAAAAAAAATTCAAATGGCTACCCGAGGTGGAGACCGAACCGAATAAAACCGGGTTTTACTTTCTGTATATGAAGACTGAATTGCTGACCGTATTACAAATGTCAAACCGGTATTATATACTGATCAAGTGATCAATACGATAAAAATATGATTGAACCAAAATAACTCGGGTTTCAGCATGTACTATTTTCTCTAATCCAAACTAAACCAAGCAAAAAAAAAACAGACCGGTATGTCCATCTCCTAATAAGTGTAGGAATCTAGCAAAAGTTATAGCTATGGTTGAACCGTACTGCTCTCAAGTTAACCAATTAAATACCAACTCAGACTTCTATTGATCAAGAACCGGTTTAATTACCTGAGAGACATCACAGCGGCAGCAAGAGAGACGCCAGAGATGGAGTTGAAGTTAGGGAGATGAGACAGGACGAAGTGTACGGATGCAAATATCATGATGAAATAAGTGAGTTTAATCGATTTACAGTTTTCACACACGAGTTCATGAAACTTCTTCAGAGACTTTCCTCCTGTGACCATATAAACGATGCAAACGCCAACTTCAACGATCAGCTGTTGCGGAACGACTATGTAGAGTCCAAGCTTCTCTCCAAACGCGTGTTGTCCAAGCTCGTGGTAACGGTCGAAACGTTTTCCTGGTACCATCTCGTGCATCTCCACCATTTGCCATAGTGTGTATAGTGTTATGATCCATGACAAAATTAGAATTACCACACCCGGTCCCCTGTTAACCGGTAAAATTTAATTAGCTTAAGATCAGTTAGCTAAGAGAATTAGGGAATGTAATTGTTTTTTTAACTTGCCTAGTTTTAAAATTATTTATCCTAAAATGTTAGGTTAATAATTTTATTTATTCCACAAAACTGAGTATACCACCATATTTTATGTCCCACTTTATTTTTTATTTTTCATAAATAGTGTGACATAAACTCTGTATATATGGTGGTATACTGAGTTTTGTGGGATAAATAGATATTGTTAACTTAACATTATAGGATTTATAAGTATGGTTTTCAAATAAAATAATAGCAGGAACAAAAGTCATTTCGGTTTTAGTTTGGTTGATTCAACTTTGATTTTGTTATGTGTGTTCAGCTTGGTTTAAATAAGCATCCATATTAGAAATTCAAATGACAAATTTGAGTTGGGTGTTTTTGTGTGAGCTTAGCTTACGACCCAAGGTTAATTATGAAAGATGATTGTTAGAAGTTGAAAATAAAATAAAAACTGAAATTAGAAAGTGATGTACCAGCCAAGCTGAGCCATGGCATAAGGGAGGCTAAGAACACCAGCACCAACCATAGCTGTGACATTGTGAAACGCAGAGTACCACCACTTGGCGTTCCTTGATGATGTTATCGGAAGCCATGCGTCGATTTCTTTCTCTCTTGCTCTTTTCTCTTCCACCTGTTATAAGTTTGATCAAATCACCAATAATATTGAATTTATATATTCTCCTTTTTATTGTTTAAGGGAACAAAATAGTAACAAATCAAGTTAAAAGGATCGTCCAAGTTCCCAAAACTTAGGCTAAGTCATGAAGCGCAAGATACAAAACAAATCCAAAACTTTTGCTTAACTTGTTGTAAAAGTAATTGCAGCTCAACCACAAACACCCACTTAATTGTAATAACAAAAAAAAAGTTAAAAAAAATCATTCACAAATTAGAATCTGAATTTTTTTGGTTTTATTATTTCAATTTTGGATAGAACTCCCTCATTAATAATAATGAAAAAAACATCGATGGAAAAAAAAAGAGAAACTAACAAGTTTATCGTATGAATCTTCAGCAGAAGCTTGAGTTTCCATGGTGACTCAGAAAGAGTAAGAGGGTAGAGAGATAGAGACAGGAAAAGAAGAAGACCTTAACAAGTTTCACAAAGCTTAGACAACCTTAATTATATAGACACACACACATACATATATATAGCTGAATGTCAGTGAATATGACGAAAGATATATATAACAATCAGAAATGTGAGTAATTCATACTTTTTTAAAGCATATTCATAGTATACTCAATAAAACATAGGACACTAAAATCGGATATCATCTCATACATGATATATTTCGTTACTCATTGGAATAAATTATTTTAAACTTGTAAATATTTCAACATGCGTTAATATGGAACATAAAATTCAAGATGGATACATAATTTTTTGTTTCATCTGTCAATACGTTTAAACGAAATTTTGGTAGGTAAAAATTGTTTCGAAAAACTAATTTAATCGACTGTCTTGTTTATATGGAAAAATATTCACAATAAATACACTATCTACTTAATTTTTAAAGGATATGGCCCAACCGGTTAGTTCATTAAATTACTTCATCAAGAAATTCACTAACATATTAATTGCTTAGAATTTATTTACATGCTGCCACCTTTAAAAGAAAAGATTATACAAATTATAAGAAAGTGTTTGTTCACACCACGATTGCGTATAAACTGTCTTAGTTGCCTGTACACAGATATATACAAAGATTAAAAAAAAAAGAAACATCATACACAAAAGAGGCTTACATATAATTGTAAATTTAATCAGATTAATAAATAACATAGACAGGGACGATAACGTGATTAGCTCTATGATATGACTATGTAATATATTTTTATTGACTATTTACTTGTAAAATCTAACGCAGAAAAATGCGTTTTCTAAATATACCACCATTAGAAGCGTTGACCAAACGGAAACTGACTCTAGCTAATGACTCCCTAACACTTCATTTCTTTTTAACATTTTTCGGGAATCTTGGATACATGTCAGCTATTTTGTTAATTAGGTTCTCTACTACTAGTAAAAAAACTTATTCTGGCTTGTTTTTTGCATCTCTCCAATCATATGAGTCTATAAAGACAAATAAACTAAGCTGGCTAAAACTAAGATTTGCAATCTTTAGTGGACGATGTTTTTCAGAGAAGGTATTTATACATTTACACCATTTTGTAATATTAATTTTCCTTGTATATATTATAAAGAAAACAAGAATGTTATTCAGTTTGGCCGGTCGTATCTTCCAAGTCAATAGTATCCTCGATTCAGATATCATTGTTTTGGATATCAATCTACTATTTGTAGATACGAATAAGAAAATAATGACCAAAAAACGTTCTAAAGATTGTTATACAATTATGATAAAACCATTTTAAAAGATTGTTATGCAACCAATTATATTTTGAATTTTTGAGGGGTGGTATATAAGTTTTGTATAGAAGTGTACAAATGGCACAAAACGAAGGAAGACTTATAAGAAAAATGACCTGAAAACAATTAGAAGTATGATTCAAATTAGCATTTTCATTAAATTGGTTAATATATACATATTTTTATATATCGACTGATCATTTACATAAAATTTATACTCAAATTGCTCACTCGCTTCTAAACTCTGTAACTACTTGGAATTTAGTATGATAGATCCGATTAAAAGTAATCAGCCAGACATCTTACCGGTCGCCCACACAATGCATATAGTAATTTCAAACACACATCATGTGAAAGCATCGCTGATGGTATATATATTAATCATGTTTATTGTTGCGTACTTCGTTTTTTTTAGTGAACACTTTGTTTAGTTTAAATGTGTTTGATCTTTTGTTTCAAAAGAAGTGTTTGATCTTTATTTTATAAGAAAGTGCGAAGAAATAACTTTAGTGGCATCTATACGTTTGTGACGCATAACGTTTTCTAATTTTCTAAACTTAGAAGTAAGTTTTTTTCGGTGTTATATTATTGTAAAATAAAACAACATTGTATTTTCCAGTGAAAAGAGATTAGCCAGCACTTAAGTATCAAACTCCAACCGAGTCAACTATGTGGTGTGGTCCTTGTGATACTATATTGATCAAGAAAATGAAATATTTTACTTGGCGATATCAATTTCTTTTAAATACTAAGTTCTTTATGTTCTTCTCTTGCAAAAGACAAAAAAGTATGTAATCAAATTTGGCCTTTTGCCTGGGTTCCGTACTTATCTGGATGATATTGATGAGTACAACTTGGTCAAGTCAAAATGTTGAAAGAACGGTACAAAATTTAATGGACCAATATTTCAACACAATAGTTATTCTTTTTTTTTTTTTTTAACACAGTAGTTATTCAAAAAAGATTATTTATGCTACAACTGAATTGTTTATGAAATAAAATGATGTAGAATGATTTTCCTATTTCTTCTTTTATAACCTTGACAGTATGAAAAACACAGCATTAAAAAAACTCGGTACAAAAGAGAATAAATAATGGAATATCATTATAGACATCATAATAAAATGGATAGAAGCTCACTAAACAAACCTCTTATGAACGAGCTTCCAACGCGAGAAGGTGATGAAGTCACACCGGACTATATCTCTTATGAACCTCTTATGGCGATGTAGGACTGTTGACGCTGATCACGAGTAACATTTTGGTTTTCCTATCAATTTCATACAAAACATTATCATATTAGATGTGAATGATAAACACAAGAGAAAATAAATAAAATAAAAGAATAAGCTGAATGTAGAAAACAATTACAAAATATTATCATATTAGATGTAAATGATAAACGACAAGAGAAAAAAAAAAGAATAAGCTGAATGAATATAGAAAACAATATTCATCTCATTTATATATTATCTATCTAAATTACTAGTACTAATTTGACTTTTTATTTAATTTAGAATTGACAGAATGAATCATTCCATTTTCTAAATCGTAAATTTGTATATAAAATTAACAAAATACACGTTGTTCTATTCCACAAAATAACGTTTACCATTTCATTCGAAATTTAAACGTCCAATGGTCATTCCATTTTCAATGTTTCATTCATCTTATGATTCTGGTCACAATTTTTATTCCATCTATTTTATTATGTTTACCATTCACATTCACAAGTCTCTTGCTTTGTCATTTTGATATTTATGAGTTTGACATTTCAACAACGTGCTTAGATCACCGTGTGTCGTCTCGTCTGACACTCCATTTTATATGTATGTAAATTTCTTTAGCATATTCGCAGTGTTGGTTATAATCACGAATGATATTTACTTCCATATACAATTGTTCACCAGTATCTTATAAACATTCGTTCTATCACAGAACCTGTTGAAATCTATAGGGTTTACAAACCTTGTAGGTATTACTTGTTAGGCATTTAAAAACGATGAGAACATAATAAGATCAATTGCTCAAACTATATAAAATCTAATAGTATATAGCTGTTTTCTATGAAACACATCGAACTAAACTAAACATAGAACGATTTGAGAAAAATATAGAACGATATTTCCTTTTTTTTATATATATATAATATAAGAAAATTGCTTTGTAAAATAAATATCATCACAATCGAATAAATTGGTTTCTTTGATCATTTTGAATTGTGTTTTCTACATATCTTGCTCCGTCCCAAATAAAACTCCTCGAACTATATTGGGCCTTCTTACTTACATAAATGGGCTTTTTAAAATCTTCGGCCCGTCGTACATTGACTCTCTGCTAAAGGTAAAACCCTCACCTCCCAAAATCAAAATCATAAACCCTAATAACAAACCCTTTTCGTCACTCTCCTTCTCGATTCTTCTTCATTCGTCTCAAGATGGGAAGCCAAGCAGCGGTTTCGCTCCTCACGAACATCGCCAAGGCGGCGTTTGGTCTCGGAACGGCGGCGACGGTGCTCTCCTCCTCCCTCTACACCGTCGACGGCGGCGAGAGAGCTGTGCTGTTCGATCGATTCAGGGGAGTGTTGGATCAGACCGTCGGCGAAGGGACTCACTTCTTGATTCCGATTCTCCAGAGGCCTCACATCTTCGACATCCGCACTAAGCCTCACACGTTCTCCTCTATTTCGGGTACTAAGGATCTCCAGATGGTTAATCTCACGCTCCGAGTTCTCTCTCGCCCCGAGGTTTATGCTCTCCTCTCTTGTTGGTTTATTATGATTTGGTTCTTGAGATTGTGTTTGATTTGATTGATAGAAGAGTTAGGGTTTAGGGTTTAGAATCGTTGTGAAATTTTAAGATGTTTATTTGGTTGTTAGAGTTTAAGGTGGGGTTTAAATTTTAGGGTTTAGAATCATTCTGAAATTTTTAATGATATTTTTGAAGAGAGGTTATTTGATTGTTAGTGTTTAGGGTTTAGAATCATTCTGGGATTTCAGATAAGGTTTTGAAGAGTTTAAGGTTATTTGATTGTTAGTGTTTAGGGTTTTGAGTCATTCTGGGATTTCAAATGAGATGATTTTGAAGAGTTTAATGTGTTGATTTGGTTATTTGATTGTTAGTGTTTAGTGTTAAGAATGATGCTGAAATTTTAAATTGGATTTTGAATTGTTTAACGTGTTTATTTGGTTATTTGTTGTTAGTGTTAAGGGTTTAGAATGATTCTGGAATTTGAAATTGGATTTTGAAGAGTTTAACGTGTTTATTTGGTTATTTGATTGTTAGTGTTAAGGGTTTAGGATACTTCTGAAATTTCAAATGAGATTCTGAAGAGTTAAACGTGTTTATTGGGTGGTTAGTGTTAAGGGTTTAGAATGATTCTAAAATTTTAAATTTGATTTTGAAGAGTTTATCGTGTTTATTTGGTTATTTGATTGTTAGTGTTAAGGGTTTAGAATGATTTGAAATTTAAAATTGAATTTTAAAGAGTTCCAACGTGTTTATTTGGTTATTTGAATGTGTAGGTTTCGCGTCTTCCTACAATATTCCAAACACTGGGTCTGGAGTATGACGAGAAGGTTCTTCCTTCGATTGGTAACGAAGTCTTGAAGGCCGTGGTAGCTCAATTCAATGCTGATCAGCTTCTAACCGAGCGTCCTCAAGTGTCAGCACTTGTCCGTGACTCTCTCATCAAGCGTGCCAGAGACTTCAACATCGAGCTCGACGATGTGGCCATTACCCATTTGTCATACGGATATGAGTTCTCGAGGGCTGTGGAGGCGAAGCAAGTGGCTCAGCAGGAAGCGGAGAGGTCTAAGTTTGTGGTGATGAAGGCTGATCAGGAGAGGAGAGCTGCGGTTATTAGAGCTGAAGGTGAGAGTGAAGCTGCTCAGTTGATTTCTGATGCAACGGCTAAAGCTGGAATGGGATTGATTGAGCTCAGGAGGATTGAGGCTTCGAGGGAGGTTGCGGCTACACTGGCTAGGTCTCCGAATGTGGCTTACTTGCCAGGTGGACAGAGCATGCTCTTTAACTTGAACGCTGGTCGTTGAGCAAGCAGTTGGTAATGCACCTTTAAAACTCTTTTACTCTTTTGAATACAGGAGGATAATGGATTTTGGACTGAAACACTCTAGGGAGTTTAGAGTATGGTTTTAGAGATCTATATCAAACTAGTATCTGATTTTTTTGGTTTTGTTCGGTTTTGGATGAGAAAATTTAGGAAGAACTCGTTGATTTTAGTATTTTGTTTTTAATAATCAAATTTAAACTGTAATGGGTTTTAGTTTATTCACTCAAGCCTAACTAAGTTCTGTTAATGTTTGGTTTGATAATAAAGTTCGGTTTCGGTTTGTGAAACCATGATTTGGTTTTATATTTATATTCATCGTTATCTTCTAGGTTCATCCCAGGATTTGTCTTGGTAACTTGTTTGGTCGTGTTGTGTTTGCAGGTGGGAGTGGACGGCTAAGTGACAAAAGAATAATGGAGTATTGAAATTAGTGAATGGTGGTTCATGGTTGTCTTTTCTTTGCGATAAACAATGTGAAAAGAGAAACTTTAGTTGCTATTGATGACCCTTTTAGGTTATTTCGGTTTGAATCTGAGGTGAAAGTTTGTTTTTATAACATTGTTCCCACTCTCCCTCCTAAGGATTTGTTTGGATATTTTCTTACTGCAATTGCTTCGGCAGTAATAGACTCAACAGATTATTTACCTAAAGACTTCGTTGCTTCTTTGCTTCTTCAAAGTGATATAAACTCTGAAATGCAGGCCATGGTATGGTCCAAATTGTGAATACTCATTCAGTAATTCTGATGTATGTAAGCAAGCACACAGGGGGTTTTAGGAAGGTCTTCGAAAAATTGATGCTGGTAAAAAGTAAAATTTAGATTGACATCAGGAGATGGATGGCAGTAGGCTAGTAGCTTTAGCAGAACAGATGTAGCCGCAATTCAAGCAATATGATGACACAACCTCTTCTTCAGGAAAATGTTGCTACATAATAAAAAAAGATAAATGGCTTCGCCCGGGTTCGAACCGGAGACCTTCAGTGTGTTAGACTGACGTGATAACCAACTACACCACGAAACCTTGTTGCGAATGTAGAGCCACTCTAGATAATTGTAGTCTTCTTTGTTGCATATAAGTAAAGAATTTATTCTGAATTTAGATTTACGTTTAAGTTTAATTCCTTAAGTCTAATCTTAATAGGTTTGGTAACAGATAGTTGACAAAAAAAAAGGTAACAGATATATTCGTTATTACTTAATTCCATATTCATCATAACTACCATTCCATTACATTCAACACACCAAATGGGGGCAAAGTTGTGAAGTTATAGGAAAACAAAAGAAAAATACAAATGGTGTCTATCTCTTCTCATGTACATTCCACAAAGCTCTCTCGTCTTTGCTTCTCTCCATGTGTCTTCTCCTTTAATGGAGTTGCAGGATCAAGCCTAGCTAAGATCTTAAGCTGCATCACAAGAATACAAAAAGCCCTTCCGAGTCTTGTTATGTTTCCTTCTTCCCCCTAATGCAGCTCTCCTCATCGACTTTGTTTAATGCTTTCTGTAACCTTCTTCACGTGTTTTGAATTCAAAGCAACTCTTGTAGCTGGTTAGACCTCTTCTTATAGCATATCACACAGCTGAACGCAAAACAAAACGGCTTATGTTCACAATCATTCAAACAACTCCCACAGTCGTGGCAACGTTCTATGCAGACTACGCAAGCTCTGCACGACTGTTTAGGACAAGGATGATCCTTCAGTGGACAGGTCTCTGATGCACAATCAAACACCAGACTTGGTTTCTCACACCACGGGCATATCTCTATGTCAGTACCTCCATCTTCCTCTAAAGAGAATCCTGACCTACATGATGTATACAATCTCTGCCTCCTGGATTTTAGACCCGCTTTAGCATCAACTCCAAGTAATAAGTTCAGTTCCTCAAATTGCTCCTTTGTGAAATATAATGCCCCACCAGTGATAAGGCTCTTGACTCCAAGTCGGTTTGAGGATTTCAAGTCTTTTAATATGGACAATACTCCTATTGTGCTTAGTCTATGACAACCGTATACACTCAGCTGCAACAAAAAGAGTTAAGAGATTCATCGTGTTAGTAAAACTTAAAAGACTTATAATAAAATTAGAGCCAAAGAACATGTAAAGACAAATGCAGTAAGCAGAGACTCTGAGTTGAAAACTCAGACACAATAACACAAACAATCAGAATCATAACATCTAAATACATAACAGTTACATTATTTAAAACTGTAAAAGACTGTAAGCTAATTGTCCAAGTTAGTAGAAGCATCTGCATAGCAACAAGTTCTCAAAGGGGCCTTAAAAAAAACTTTATCCAGCAAACACATAACAATATGACATGATAATCTACATGGTCAAAGTCCTATTCTCTTTAGGAAAAACTAACCTTTGTGAGACGTGTATTGGTTGCAAGCACTTGCATCAATCCATCATCAGTAATACTAACACACCCTCCCAGATTCAAACACTGAAGACTGCCTTGAGCGCGGCGTGTTAGCTTCACAAGAGAATCATCACTTACTCTATACTTAAGAGGAGAATCACTAAAGTCAATGATTCTCCAAAAAGAAGACTCTTTTCTAACAGAGTCACGCAACGACCTGCAAACTCCTTCAACAGCAAGAACATCCTTCATCTCAAGATACTGAAGAACTAAATCAAACGCATTATGAGGCTCCTCACCATCATCATCATCAAGAAGATGAGAGTGAGACTCTGATGCTAAACCACTAACTTTCATACAAAAGGGATCCTCAGGCAAAGTGGCTTCACCTTCTAATCCCTCAAAAACATTCACCTCCAAGCTGCATACCTTCTGTTGCTGCAACACCGTACTAAAGCAATCCAGGCTGGTCTCAAAGAGCTTTTGATCAAGACCACCATGAGACTGTGATACTAAACCAACCTGAGTCTCATGAAACCAATCAGAGATGGAGTTCAAAGTAGATCTAATATTCATACAAAAAGGATCCTCAGGCAAACTATCATCATTACCGAAACCCAACAAATCACTGAACACATCATTAAAAGAGCCATCACCATCAACATTACAACTTAATGTTTCACAAATCATCTGATAATCAGAAAACCCCCATTCAAATTTTCCCTTGTGAGAGGCGGCATAAGAGCCTCCAAGCTCGTCGCAACTCATCTTCATCTCCTTGTTTTGGAGAAAACCACAAGTCTTTTTGAGTATAATAATATTATAAAGCTCAATAACGGATCTGATCTAAAGGGAAGAGGATTAAGCTGTTAAACTTATCTCTCAAGAGGTGGATGAAATGAAATAAATAAATAAATAAAAGAGTAGAAGAAGAGGAATCAATTAAATTGAGAAAAAGAATCTAAAATAGATCTCAACAATACAAATAGGAAACGTTTAGAGAAGGAATGATAAGGAAGCATGCGTGATCATTAATCCAACGAATGGGATCGCATTTTCAGCGGGGGAGAGAGAGAAAGGATTCAGCGGAAGACGAAGAAGAAGAAGAAGAAGATCGAATCATAGAGAGAGAGAGAGTTTTTTTTTTTTGCGGCAAAAAAAAAATAAAGGGAGGGAGTAGGGCTTGTGGTTGTTGCGAATTTGGCGCGTGTCTAACTGTATCTTCTTATTTAATCAATATAAATAAATAACAATATCATTTTTCTGTCATTCTACTAGATGATGATATAATTAATTAATTTGATATATTTTCTTTTTACAAATTACTATATTTTTTATGTTGAAATTTAGTGAGATAGTGTGTTACCCAGTTTTTGTATGAAATTAAACTCTTCTTTGTTAGTTAAAGAAAAATTGATGTTCATTATATTTCAAGTTAGTATGATTACAAGAAAAGAGTAAATGGATTCACTAGAATTGATCAAATATGTGTCAGCGAGAATTTTCTAGAGACTAAAAAATCAAAAGATTAAAGTAAGGACAATTTTATTATTTGGCATCATTTTTTTTAGCGAAGATACATATATAAATATTGGTGATGAAACAAAACTCAAAATCCTAGTGTTTAATAGTGTTCTTACATTTGTTGGTGATGCTAATACACAAAACTTGATGATGAATGAAGATATAAATATTGAGGCTCTATTGAAAAGAAAACAAATAATAATGTTCTTACAAACCTTCTTTGCAATATGAGTAAAAAAGAAAACACAAGAAAAGCAATGTCATACTTAAGATCACTAGTATACATAAGATTCACTTACAAGCTCTCACCAACAGATTCTTTTTATTCAGCAAGGAAACAAAAGAAAAACAGAGACGCTCTTATTTTGTGTGGCACTCATTATCATCTTCCTAGTTTCATACAGTTTATTACAGCGTAGGAGGGATCCAAATGTAGCCATGGGTCTGCAAATAACCAGCTTTCTCTAGTAACTGATCTGCTTCCGTTGGTCCTCGGCTTCCTGGTTTGTATGCAATCGATTTCACTTCTCCATCTCTTATCCTATGAAGCAGCGGAGTAAAGATTTCCCAAGCTGCCTGTTTTTGTGATTCATCACAAAACATATCTATGTGTCAAGACTCTCTCAAATGGGAAAAATGACATTATGAATGTTTGAATCAACTTGAGTTAGGTTCTTGAACTCATGTAAGTTACTATTCACTTCTAGATATGAGATGGAAGGATAAAGGTTAACTACCTTTAGTTCGTCTCTGCGAACAAAGTGTTGTTGGTCCCCTTTGATTCTGCAGGAAGATTCATAATATGGTCAGTTAATCGGATGAACAGAGGTTTTGATATACATAAACTATTGTGTTACTATATGCTTTAGGTTCATACGTGTCAAGAATTAGGCGCTCATAAGCCTCTGGAATCGAGACACCTTGGTAACGTTGCTTGTACGATAAGTCTAGTTCACTCTGCACCGTTTGCATCTCAAGACCCGGTTGCTTCACCTACGCAACAAAAGCCAAAAAAAAAAACAGATCAAATGAATGAATATAATGAATTATGGGAAGGTTCTTTATACACTTACAGTTAGCTTCATGTACATGGCCTCTGAAGGTTGCAAGCGTATAACAAACTCATTCCTCCCTTGCTTCTGACCTGTTAGCATTGCATGAGAGTTTTATAACAGCAAACGTTTTGATATAATGAGAAGGTTTGGTTTTGGTGTTGATACATACATTTGAATATGTCACCAGGAACATCCTTAAACTGAATGCGAATATCTGCTTTCTTTGAACTCATTGCCTTTCCAGCTTTTAGTATAAACGGAACACCTGAAAAGATTAAATCAATCCACAAGTCACTAACAACTACTAATAGAAAGATATTCTAATGATAGAGATGTAACACATGTATACCTTCCCATCTTTCATTGTCTATGCGAAGAATTGTTGTGGCAAACGTTGGAGTGTTTGAGTCGTTTGGAACAGTTGGATCATCTCTATAACCTTCGTATTGTCCAAGAACCACTTCTTCATCTTTTATAGGAATCACTGATTGAAGAACCTGAGGTTCATTGCCGCTCAATTTGTATTAAATGGCTGAAAAGCTCATTAGCATGACTAAAAATTGTAAATCACCTTCACTTTCTCATCACGGATGTGCTCAGGTTTAAGAGAGACTGGTTTCTCCATAGCAACAAGGCAAAGAACCTGCAGTTAACACTAAACCATAGTTTAATAAATGAAAGCATCATCTTGTAGTTATAGAGAAACTCCAAGCACCAGAGTTACTTGCCTGGAGCAAGTGGTTTTGAATAATATCACGAATGATTCTGACAATACATTAGAATGAAATGATGTCATTGCTTCATATACATCATACTCAAAGGAAACACTGATAAAAAGGTTACCCGTATTCATCAAAGTATCCTCCACGGCCTTCAGTTCCAAAATCTTCCCTGAATACAATCTGCAAAAAAAAAAACTAGACTTATGTGGACTAAACTCTAAACAAAAGTCTGTACTAAGAGATCAAGCTCTAACCTGCACGTTAGCGATGTTGTCACGGTTCCATAGTGGCAAAAAGAACCTATTAGCAAACCGGAGGACCAACTGCAAACGATCAATAGTTAAGACAATCATTGTCTGCCTCTCTAAGTAAATAAGCTATTGATTAGTTACAGGTATGTGTTACCATATTTTGGACTAGTTCCTTTCCCAAGTAGTGATCAATACGATAAATCTGAGGTTCATCAAACAGTGCTCCAATCTGGGAACTAAGTTGCTCTGCAGATTCCAAGTCCTTTCCAAATGGCTTCTCAACGACAATACGTGTCCATCCACCAAGATCAGCTGTAAGATTTGTGCGAGTTAAATGCAGTTTTTGTAGCTAATGATGTTGGTTAAGTTTAGCAGAAACTCACATTTGTTAGTGCACCATGCCTTGATCATCTTGCACACAGGAGGGTATACAGAGGGAGGAAGTGCAAGATAAAACAATCTCCTGGAAGATCCTTCAGAAGTCCTTTTAGAGATCTCATGCTCTGAGATTGCCTTGTCTAGCCTTTTGAACCCGTCCTCAGAATCATAAGGGCCACTCACATACTTAATCTATGAAATTTTGAGCCAGCAAATGTGTTTTCAGTAACCCAAAGAAAAAAAAATGAATTCTTCATATGGACTAACTAATACCAGCTGTAGAAACTTGGACAAAGCGTCAGCTTTCTCAGATGCATTCTTCTCATCAACAAGATATCTACATTATAATATAAGTTTCATTAACTAAGATATGCATCAAATAAAGACAACTCAAAAAAATGCAACAAGAAGAGATCTAAAAACCCATGAATCTTGTCTCTCAGCTCCTGATCAGAAAGCTTAGTCCTTGCATATCCAAAGATGTGAACTTCATCTGGATTAAGGAATCCCTGAGCTCATGTAACCAAAGAAACAATCAAAAACAGTTTTGGTGATGAAACAAATAAACAAGTGTGAGATTTTGTTTAGTTAAAAACCTGGTGGAAGAGATTGAAAAGAGCAGGAAAAGTCTTCTTCTTGGCGAGATCACCAGAGGCACCAAGAACAATGATGGAGAGGCTACCAGTTTCAGAGACTGGACCATACTCTTTCACAAACGAGTCGTTTCTCAAACTAGACCTCTTCTCAACGTGCCATTGCCCAGAATCCATCTTCCCCAGGAGCAAGAACGTGATAATCTCACACACGTGCAGATACCACGAAACACAAGATCAGAGAAACCTGCAAAAGTGAAGAGTTCTAGAGTTACTGATGAATCACGGAACCAGACACTTATGAAAAGATAAAAAACGATGATAAGTAATTGCACAGATCGTATTTGGTCGAGCAGTCACAAAGAACCAAACTTTGGATCAAACTCAGTTTACAACCGAAAGAACAAAAAAAAGAAAAAAAAAAACAGAAAACGAAAAGAGATATTAACCTGCGACGAGTGCCGGAGAGAAAAGACGGAGGCAGAACAGAACAGTTTCACAAGTTTGGAGAATTGTTTGTGTAATGGTGGAGACACTACGAGCTCGCTCGAGATTGATTGATTGTAACAAATCAAAGAGCTGCTAATTATTTAATTAAGAAAACGGATCGTTGTCAACGTGAAATAATAATTACGTAAATCCACTGAGGGAATAAATAATAAAGTAATTAAAACGGAAAGTGTAATGATTCTAGAGAATCTGAGAGTGGTAGTGGTTGAGCTTGAGCATCCCATGATCATATGCTGAAATATCTTGTGGAAAAGAAAAGTCAACATGATCTATACATGCATCATCTATACATAGATATGACGTAGCATAACGCATTTTATTCACTTTCTAGTTTCAATTTCAGTACGAGACAGGAACATCTTAAGGATCTTATCATTACACCATGAGTTGCTGCACTAGTCTGAGCGAGGCCGCTACTTAAAACTCTGGTTTTTCCTCTTTCCATTTTGGAGAGGCTTCTTTAGATTAGTTGGAGCACCACAAAACTTACCTTGAATAGTCAGGTTTCCATCGACATCAAGGACTCTTCTCACTACAGCTTTACATACGACATGCTCACCACTCTCAAATCCAGGGGAACAAACATTTGCCAGCCCCTTAAACTTGATGTAGACATTTGCACTTGTGGCCTTGAGTCTCTCATTGGGCGGCTCCACATCTTCAATACCAGTTTCTATGGCCACATCCAAAATCTCCAATTTGGAAAAAACATCCCTCTATACAACATTGTTGATGTTAGTATTTATTATTAACATTAGCGTCAATCATGATATATATGATTAAGTGATATTTTAAAATTTACCGTATACATCATAAACTTATCATCTACACATACATAGAAATCCAATCATTGGATTGCCACTCTGATTTCTTCACCTGCAAAAGCCAAAAGAAAAGGATTATCACTCCTACTTGCTCTGCTTAAATTGATCATGAGAAAAGAAAAAAAGTTAATAATAGTGTCTCTTAATCTTACCAAGTAAAACCGTTTTGCATCATTCAAAGCATCATCTGACGGCCAATCAGGCAAATCACCTTTGAACAAACCATCCTCCTCCTTTTCCGCGGCATCAAGATGAAAGAATCGTGGTACATAAGGCCTCCTGGGGCTCACTATATACAACAACAACAACAACATGATTAATCAGGAAAAGAAGAGATGTGAGATTTTATACCAAAAAAAAAAGAAGAAGAAATGAACAACAAACAAGTCACACCTTCATCTTTAACTCTGGAAATGGAGCATGTAATATTCAAAGAGTTTACTTCATGCTCATCAACTTCCACCTGGAAGGTTTTCTTCAATGGGTCAAGAGCTGGATCGTGTGCAAGCAAAGTCATGTAGAAAACGGGCAGAAATTTCTGTAACATGTTGAATTTCACTAGGAAATCAAGCTGGTAGTTTGTCTCCTAGACAATGAACAAAATAATAAAAGTAAAAGTGAATGAATGAATGGTGGTTATAAGGGAATAATATTTTATAGTTTTATTTTCCCAGAATGTATCCTAATTTTTGGCCTATGTTGATACCTTAAACATATTGTAACGATGAAGGCCCAACTTAGCATAAAGCTCGACCAAGTCAGGATAAGAATAATTCCACCGACCTACACAATTGTAGGGCATCAGACCAGTGATCCCTCCAATATGTGATGGTATTGAAACATTCTCAATATCGAAGCGCTAAGACCAGTCAGAAAAAATAATCAAATCAGTCCACAAAATCAACATAAAGACTAATCCAAAAACAAACGACTGAAACCTAATAGCAAATGATATCAAATCCATAAACAAAACCTAGAAATGATCGATTTTATATAAGAACATCATACTGTGTAAATTAAATTCTATAAACCCCCATTAGAAGGTGGAAGACTTACCCCGAGTTCATTGACTTGACGCTAGTAATCCCTAGTCACGGTAATAAAATCTACCGACGGATTATCTAACGTCGACATATCTCCTCCTCCTTGTTGTGGATGATGCTCTTTCTTTTCCTTCACTTATTTCTTATTATATAAAGAAGGGTTTTATTCCCTGTCATGTCACTAAATAGGATAAAGAGAAAATGACACATGACATGTAAAATTATTATTACAAAATAATGTTTAATATTAACCAAGGCTTATTTATGTGAATGCATTTATCAATTTTTTTTAAAAAGTATGAATCTTTTTATTTTGAGATAAAAATATATTAAAAAAATCATAGTATCCATGAATTCAAAAAAAAAATATAAGGCTGGAAATAATCCATAATTTATATTCTTAGATATTTTATTTTATCAACCTTGACAAATGTTAGAATTTACTGATATAATAAAATAAAAAATTATAAATAGTGAAAAATATTATTAATAAAATAACAAAATATAAATAGTGAAATTTAATGTTATTTTTATTTTCAATAAAGTAAAAAAAAATCAGATACTCACTAAATTTGAATATATATATATATATATATATATATATATATATATATATATTTTTATGTGTGTATATGACTAGATTTTTAATAGTAGCACATTAGAAATTAATATGCATTAAATATACAAGGAAAAAAATAAGAATACAAACTAAATCAAAAGGAATAAACATATCAAATAAATACAAAGATTCCCACATAAATTGGCTGAAAATAATCCATAATTTATATTCTTAGATATTTTATTTTATCAATATAGACATAAATCGATCGATATGGATGCCAGAATGTGGGCCGAGTATATTTCGTGACCAACTGAAGCCCAGAAGAAACCTAAATTACCAGAATGCCCTTGGACGACCAGAAACCCTATTTTATGTTATTTGCAAGTCATTGTTAACGGCTACACGCTATCTACGCTTTCTTTTCATCTTTGTTTCATTGTTCTTAGTGAGGAGAGAAGAGGGGAACTCTTTCAGAGTCCTCTTGGAACTCCATTGGAATTATCTTTATTTTCTTATTCTATTATTATTCAGACTATGATTTGTGTTTCTTTTATCATGTCTGAGTAGTTCATCTTGTTA